GTACGCGTCGGGCTCTCGGATGACGTGTGTCCCTCACAAGTATGTATGGTAGCGCGATACCGCGTACAGCTTGGACGATCGGGAAACCTTTGTCGCCAAGTACCTCAAGCCGACGACGCCCGTGGCCAACCTCGCCAACATCTCCGAGAGCCCCGAGTCTTCGGCCGTCAAGTTTGACGACAACGAAGCAGAAGACGCAGCAGACGAAGACGAAGAAGCAGAAGACGAAGACAGCATGTCGGTGCACGACCTCGTCGACGACGACATTCCGCGCGTCCACAACGACGACGACGACGAGGCGGCGCACGAAGAGGACATTCAGGAAGTCGACACGCTTGTGACGCTAGGAATTGCCATGCTACAGAAAGGGTCGGCAAGCGGCGCAGTCGCGGCGTTCGAACGGGCGGTGGAGCTGCTGCCGCGCGACCCGCTTCTCTATTCGTACCTCGGCAAAGCGTATTATGCGGACGAGGACCTCGACCGCGCCGTGCTGGCGCTCGAGCGGTCGCTGGATCTGGTCCCGTCCGCCGCCAACTCGACGCTGCTCGGCAAGATCCTCTTTGAGAAGGGCGACCATGACAAGGCCATTCTCGCCTACCAGAGGTCGCTGGAGATCCAGCGGGGCAACTAGATGTGACAGCTAATAATATTCGACGAGTTTAGGGTAAGACTTTTATCTACGGTGCTGCATAGTCTTTCGCACGAAAGAGGTTGGTGACGACCGCGCGACCCACCGCGTTGACGCGCGATGGAAGCTGCGGCGCTGCCTTTTGCGTCTCTTGCCACAAACTATAAAGCTCGGGTCGTCAAAGTATCAAGGTATCGAGTGGGTACCTCAGAAACGTCGGGTGCGCGGCGCCGAGGTCGCGGGCGCGGGTCGCACTAATGCCAGGCACCTGCATGAGCATCATCTGGTACAGCTCGCCAGTCGTCGGCGCCGCCTTCTTGCGGAACGTCTCGTTGAACTCGCCAAACGACTGCCACGTTGTTGGAATGAGTTGCCTACGCACGCGCGTCATCTATTGATCGTCTCTCGTCACGGGATGAGTGTACGTAAAGTCGCGAAGGCACGCAGGCAGGCGACCAATCGACGCGGCGGTCGGCGGCGCGGCGTTGCGGACCTTGTAAACGGCGCTAAAGGCGCGCACCGTGTGCCAGTGCAGAGCCGATAAGAACGCGACGGTCTCGTCGGGCGACGCCGCGTGGTGCACCAGATAGTTGTTGAGCACCTGCGATGCAACCATCGATCAATGCCCCAGGAGAAGAGAGGAACATACTTGTGTGCGGGTCAGGGCGGTCGCGAGGGCAGTGGCCCCCAAGATGGTCTCGACCGCAAGCGAGCCTTCGAGAAGGTACACCACGTAGCGCAGGCCGGCGTCCGCGAGCCGCTGCTTTTGCTCCGTGTAGCGCTTGTCGATGATACTCAAGGCGAGATCCGAGACGGCCTTGCGCTCGACGATCACATCGAGGACAAACTCTTCCTCGATGGCGCGGCCACCTGCGTTCGACGGCGGTTTCTACACGGACGGAAAAGGATCAAGTTGGTCTACCAAAGGTGGGGCGGTGGCGGCGCGCGATCCACATCATGTCGCCGAGGTGGAGGCCGCGGACTTCGCACGTGACGCCGGCCTCGAGCAGTTTGCGCTCAAACACCGATTTGTTGCTGCGGGACACCATCTACACGCGTGTGTCGGCACGAGTCGTCGCACAAGGGCACAGTCGGAGCACACCTCGCGGTGGTCGAGGAGCAGCACGATCTCCCATTCGTCCTGCGTGTGCGAGAGCGGCGCCTCCTTGGGCTCGAATTTGGACAAGTTGGTCGACGCCCAGTCGAACGCGTCGGTCGTCGTGGGCGCCTCGTCGATCGTGGTCGTGATCGCGGGGGCCTCCATTCGTGGCCGCCGGGCGACCGGGCCAGCCTCTGCAGCTTGGGCGTCGCTGTGTTGGCAATACCGGGCACTGTGGATCCCTACAAAGGTTTGAGGTACAGTGGCTGGTTGTGTGAAGCGCACCATCCGCCGTCAAGAAGAGGTGTCCGTAGAGCGACGACTTGGCAACGACCTTGTGCGTATTGACAAGGGAAACCAGACTTGCCCGCAGCTGCCCTTGGTCGCTGGTACACTACGCAGCACAAGCATGCGA